ACCAGCACTGGCGGGTACGTCAAGGGACACTGTAGTCAAACGACTGCGTATAGGCAGTCGTAAGACGAACATGACCTGAACCCTCCAATTGCAGAAGTTAACACTGTCTGTCCGTCGTGCAGAATGGCTTCAATGGTAAAATACTCTGATCTTCACAAACGATTGGACTCTACAAGCGTCTTGGGCGTTGGACCTTTTTAGACGATGAGGGAGAAGATATGAAAAGGACTCAAGTTTCGTATTGGATCTTCCAAAGGTTATATTTTCAAGCAGTTTTTAATAGTAGCTGCTGTTTTATGGCTCCCGGCGGTAATCGCGTGAAACAACGATTCAACACAACGCGACTTATCTTTATTGAAACGCATGATAGGACAGACAAGCCTTCTTGTCGTTATTGCGCCCGTTTTAATTAGCCGCAGGACCGTCATCTAAAACAGTTGTTTTCACTAGTTTGAGAAAGATTAAGCTATAGTATCTCATTGTTTTTTTCGAAATTTCGCTATTACTTCCTGACTTTCGGGACTTTTTCCGTGGCTTACTAGTACGCTTCTGACGTAATGAAGACGGCGCTAGCCGTTTCCGAAATCGTGTTGCAATTAGAAATCACGAAGCGTAGCGTTGATACATCGACACCGTCTGATAACGATCAGAGTCCGAAACACAATAGTATGTCTACGCATATACATTTAATCGTGTGGAAAAGCAAATGGTGCCGTCGCTCCGCGCTGGTTAGAACTCGTTAGAACAGTTAGTTCCGTTATATTTTATCGTGTCTCAATCGAAGCTATCATATCATTACGAACATCGGTGAAATCTCGACCAGATGATTCTTCACATGACGACTATATGGATCGTGCCCGTGGAAGAATTTGGTGCCTCGAGACTGACAAAACCATTTCAGGGAATGAGTTTTTTAGGTAAAATAAAAAGCCATAACCGACCCTCGGATGCAGTCAGAACTAGCATGACTATAATGAACGATAACTTTAATTACTAACAATAGAGCGTTAATAGAGTTTGTTGTTAAAAAAAATTCTACGCCATTGCTTTAAGTCATGGCCATGTGCCAATTCACTCGGCTGACTATGAGTTGTAGCACTATCATTGCCTGCATAAGGCGGCTGCTGTCCTTTCGCTCCATTTAGCTTCAATATTAATCGTCTATGAGCGCGTATCGATGAGCACATTGATGGGTCGTTATTTATAGACGGAATATCAACAATAACCAGTAGCTAATATTTTCAATGACAGATATCTACCTTTGCCATTTCGCCGGATTCGCTTTGTGACGGGGGGCCAGCTGCCCGAAGCATCGCTTAACGCCAGAACCGGATATAAACAACTCGAAGCATTTATTATATACGTACAAGATTATCCCTTTACATGATGCTTGATTAGCTCGGCGAGTAGTCCTACGCGAAGCTGAAATGCATCTGGGTTATTTTTCCATTGATAATTTCATCCAAACAGTTAGAACATACGAACAAGTAATAAGTTCAACACCGTAACTGCTCTTGTAAACTTGTAATTATCCGTTATTATCATGGATAAACATATACCATAGTTGGTATTTGTACCAATCGCTACAGCAGCAGTAGCAGACAGAAAAGGAAGCCAAACTTGTTTACGCTTTTGTGGCTCTTATTATAGATGGCGGAACTTATCGATAAGTTCAATGAACTCTTGAAGCTAAGGCTGGATAACTGGCTTAATCGAGCACGACTTCTGCTGGCTAATGAGTCATATCTCTGACCCAGCTCAATCAGAGCACTTTTTTTTGTTTCAATTTTTAACCACTAATTGCGGCTAATTGAATGTATGCTGTTCTTATCATCGACTTCTATTCACTTTGTTCTGTTACGACGCGGCGACATTCCGCGGGGCAGTCGATCCGTCCGTACCCGATTGAAGCCTGCCTGAATTTTTAGACGCACAACAAACCCCGCTGCTTATAATAACAAGCATCAAACTAGCAAAAAACATATTCTGCTAAGAAGGCAAGAAGTAAATTAACTTGCTACTCTTGTCGATTATGGAGTAACAGTTTAATAAACTTCGGATATGTGCGCAGATCAGGTCGCATCCCTTCCCATGAAGCACCATCGTGATCAAAAACTACTACGATGAAGATGAATTTCGATGTCAAACCCACTCTCCCCCCACCCGTTACGACAGAGATATCGGGAGTGACGCATTTGAGAAGGGTGGCTGTACGGCGTGGCCGTTGGCAATACCGGGCAAAGGGTGCATGACGGGCGTTGGAAAAAAGAATCATCATCCAAGTTCACCTGCAAGGACCTGTTCGTGCATTTGCCCTTGTTGAATTAGAAACAAGAAAAAAGTGAGCGCATATTTACTTTGCCAGCACGCAACTGGAACTCAAATATTGAACATTGTTCCTGACGCTCAGGCTGCGCTTGCTGTTACCATCGTCATTATCGTTGTTGCTGTTCGTCTAGCTTATTTGTTGTGATCTTCATTGGCGTCCGCATGCATCCTGGCAGAGTGTGGTTTTGCTTTACCGATGAAGAAGAGCGACGTCGTCGTCGTCGCCAAGCCGACGTGTCGAAGGTGATGGAATAGATATTATAATATCTATGTACCCGCAGTTTAGTACTTCATAGCACCAGCGAAACAAATAGACGAAGAACCAGTTCCTACGGAAGCTTCGTTCGCGCCCCCACGCTGGGGGTCTCGATCGGCATATAGTGAAGGTGATGGACTGAATGGTGGATGCTTTGATGGTTCGAATAGTATTATGATAGTATTATAATAATACTGAAATCGACAATAATAGCGAACGCGGTGGTGCCGGGAGCAAATCGTGAGCGCTACCACAGAGAATGCTTGCTACCGAATCACGCTTCAGATTCGCCGCTGCTGTCACAGCCCAAGGTATCGGGCACTCACCGGTTGACCCCCTCAACGTTTTCTGCACGCAAAAGGGGAAATGGTTTAAGCAAATCGGAACAACTTGTTACATATTGGATCACCAGACGATATCGCTATTCGACTGGTATGCGTTCGTGTCTCTGGAGGTGTTGAAGTGAATTCAATTTTTACGTTTAATATTTGTGAATGTTTGTTTATTATTAGAGGATGATCAGTGGCAAAACTGTGCACTGTGCGAGCGCCAGATGGTACGATCAGATATTAGTATTTACGCGTATCTCGCTAAATAACTTTCCTAACGCTAAGTAACAGGACTATTTTTTTATTTCTGCTGTAAACAAATGCCACTTCTTCTCCTTCAGATTTACGACTTTATCGGTATTACGTTTTGACGCATTTTGCAGCTACGGTACGATCTTTGAGCGATCTCCGGAGCCAATCATTCAAATTCAATTCTTATTCATTATTATACACTCTACTTACTGTAAGATGACCATTTTAATTTTTTTTTAATACTGTAGTCTAGGAGGCATTCATCCATAAACTATCAATATATGGATACGCTCCGATCGTTACGGCTTCTGATTATGCTTTTGAGGTCATCTGAGCATCTTTCTCGAGTGGTCAAGTCAGCTTCTTCGACAGTATATTGCCAAGAGTATCTCCGAACAAATAATCGTCCCCAGTTTAGTTGACCAGTAAAAGAAAATGAGCCGATCCTTTTACCGTAGACCTATACCTTCATATATTCTTGTTACAACAGTAACAACGAGATCAATGTAAAAACAACGACAAAACAAAAACCGACCAACTCTGTTCGTGGCTTATGGCGTGTCCGCCTTGAGCGGGATCAGCTTGACCATTGTCATCGTACAAAGTCGCTAGGTTCTACAACAGGCAGCAGAAAATCTGCTTTTCTTTCCCTTGCGGCCGCCGTCGCCACCGCTGCCGCTGCTGCTGTTCTCACTGCCAAAAGAATCAACCTCTTGTAGACAGTCATATAGCCTTCACTTATATAAGCACCATCACTTCTAGCTCATCCCAATAAATGAACGGTGACGACGAAGATACCGATGGCAATGAAGCGAATTGCTTAGACCTTAACGACTTATTCGTTTCTTTTTCATTGAGAGAAACGTCGCTAGTGGCAAACGCGTCGCGTTCGCTTCTGCGAGGCGTCTGACGCTCGACGACGAGAGAAGCACGCTTGGCGGCTGACGGCGATTCAAGGCTTGGTCATCGTAGTAGTAAAGTGATCGTGGCGCCAATCGTAGTCAGTTTGTCATATCTGCGATCGTACTACACGGGTTTTTCGTCGTGTGGCTTGTTCTTTTCTGTTTCGTCATCTGTTACTTGCCTCAAGAAGACGAAAAGGACGAAGTTGGAGACGAAGTGGAAGCGTCAAGACATCTCTCTCGTTTAGTCGCTCGCTTTCTCCGCCTGCGATCTAGTAGACCCAGTCAGCTAGCTCGTGCTTAGCTCGTTCAATCGGCGTCACGCTCTATCCACCACTCTATCCAGCAGTCTCTTGACGCTCAGGCCTGCTGACGTTCGACTGCCGCGGGCTGAGCAGTTGCCGCTGCCCTGCTACGACTTCGACCGCAGCTGCTGCCGCTGCTCGTGACCGGTGTGGTACAGGCTGTGTTTGTTTGTGTGTCCGTGTGTCTCTATGCGTATCTGTCTTGGTATTTTGTAAACGCGTGTTCTCTCTGTCTGTCTTGACGCGGCTCACATAGCCACACCGCATGTTGCTGCTACTGCAGCGCTACCGTCACGACAACCGACGTCAACCGCAGCATCAGTACGATCTTGGCGACCACTCGCTCACTGCTACCAGTAATTGGTCAGCCAGAGCGACGATTGCCGGCGAATCTGCTAGCAAGCTAGCGATTTAGCACCGCCTCTTGGCCCGCCCATCACACGCTGCCGCTGCAGCAGCAGGTACTGCCCGTTGCTGGTCGCGACGGCTGCTACGGTAGCCGTGTTGCCGCGGCAACGACGCTGTTGGCCGCAAAGCTCCGGTTGGCGGAGTCGCTCCGTGATCGCTAACAGAACGTTCCTGACCGCGTGTCGGCAGGGAGTCCGTGTGAAGCAGAGAGCTTGTCGCAATCGTAGCTTACTAGCTGCCTGGTAGCGACAGTAACTGAAGAATCGTATGCAGCAGTAGCAGTAGCAGCAGCAATATCAGTACGACGACGACGACGACGACTATTGGTATTAGTAAGAAGAATCGACTGTACAATAAAGAAATTGATGGGCTTCGACGCGTCCAAGCTGCTCGGTTGTGCTGTACTGAAGGAGGCTGCGGTGTGCGCGAAACACAGCAGTAAGTAAGTCAGTTACAGTGATTACTGTGTGAGGATCTACAAGGACAAGCAAGTTGAAATAAGTTACTCTTGTGGTTGAAATCTGAAAAGTTGAGTTAGCACGAACTGTGTATAGTTGATGGAGACTAACAGTAAGTTAACAGAGGTTTAATCTTGGCAACACAAAAAATCTGTGACGAAGACGAGATTGAGTGCGGCTACGAATAGTTCTCGATGCCAGGAGAGTTTTGTTACTGCCTCATTCAGTGTGTTTTATGACTTGTGCGATACTTGTTGTGAGCTGTGTGCTTGCAGACATTGTGAACCTTGGATTCGTACAAAAACGACCTAAAAACGACGAAAAAAAGACAGGCTGCGACGAGGATTAATTACACTTAGTTACTGACGGAATCAGGAGACCTGGAATTGTTGGACTCGGTGAACGAACTGTTGGACTGGATTGGGGGCACCGTGATAGTAGGTTACAAGTACCGCATGACTTCGTATATCACCGCCGGCACCTGGTGCGATTGTAGAGTTTGAGGGCCTAATCCACCAATCCGAGTGGATCCTGAAGTGTTGGAAACGAAATAAACGTAACGGTTAGAATATGATGTCACAGATGTTAACCGCCGGCACGCCTTCGGGCGGTTCCGCTCAGAATCTTCTACAAATGTGCAGGTAAGTAGTAGTAAATATAATGAAGCAATTATACGGGTATATTGATGCACAACCAGTCGAGAAAGCCATATCTCGAATCAGTCATATCTGTACTGCCGGTAACGCTGAAAATAGGTATCGTTCGTAGAATTATCTGTTCCTATCCATCTCCGTTTAAGCGTTAGGGTTTTCGAGACGTTTGCCTGCAGTTCTCATGATAATGCTTTGCATTTTAGAGAAACGTTTAATTAGAAGTATGGCGCAAAGCAGACGCGTGTTGCGCATTTTTTCTTTACGATCAGGACTCTTTTGAGCGTCCCTATTATTTATATTGGGCAGACCTTAAGCTTATTTTGTCCACTGTCCATATACGTACCATCCTGCTCAGGTATACATGCCATTAGCAAACAAAAAACAGTAAAATAAAAAAAAAAATACGCACTACAATACATTGCAAAACACAGTGCGATACGTACTACATGCGCCCTTTTTATGATCTGCTCTCGTTCATTTTCTCAAAATACATCTGCTGCCTCATAATTTCACGCGACTTACAGCGATCTGCAACCGTTAAGAACAACGTACGTCGGTACGTTCGCAGCCGTATAACTCTTAAGTAACAAATGCGATAACAAAGTGAGATACCCAGTAGACCTATATAGTGAAACTTATAGCGTTTCAGAACTGAAGGCCAAAAAGATGAGATGCTTGTCCGTGTAGCGCTTTTAGACTGCGTCTTAGGCCCTGCTTGGCTCTCTTTTGCGTCTCTAGTGGGCGATCTCGTAAGGCGCTGTCATATCGGAGGCTATAGCTAAAAGATGTGAAAGGTATCGCGATCGACAACGGTCGAAGTGCCATTGAAGAAAAGTCGTTTTTCTGTATGCGATCTGGATGCGATCACGACGTCTCTGTATTTCGATGGGTGTCACTTTGTATAACGAAGAGCTAAATATTAGTTAGTCCCTTGGATCCGAGCTCTTGAGTGACTCTCAATTCTTGGGTGTTCACAAGACGGGGTATTTGCCGTTTGTTGTCGCTATTGTCCGGTGTGCCGTTGTTGTATCACTAGAACGACACAGTCAATCGAAGCTGTTTAACTTTGTCCTTTTTTTTTCACGCATAAGGATAGTTGTGGGAGGATTAACGGAGCTAAAGGACCCAAAAAATGATAGTTCGGCCTCATCAAGCGGTTTATGTGCTCCACCTTTTCTTGGGTTGCTGCTGATGTCGACGGCTTTTTCTTGAGTGTATTCCTGAGCGAAGAATAGATATACTCCAAGCTCCACACCCATATCCAAGTCGAGCCGACCATTCTTGAGATCAGCCTTAAGCTTTTGAACAGTCGCAGGTACTTAGGATACTCCCCATGCCATACCGAATACGCTGCCCAACAGCGCTTTGACAACTCTACCAAGCTGGTTATTTTTCAGGCATTCTTCAACGACCGCACTCTTACAATGGGTCGAGATAGAAGAAGAAAAAACTGAACCTGTTGATGACTAACTTATTTCGACGCTAACTACGCACCGTTTCGGCATAACAAGCAAGCTTTACAATAGAACTTTACGTTTCCTTTTTAATGCGGTTGAAAAGCGTTTTTATTTGTATGTTTATCTTAGTCTTCTTGACAATGACATCGATGACCGCTTACACCGATGCTCACGTTATGCAGTCGTCCAACGAAATTGGTACGCGAGGCCGCTAGTTCACCGAGCCTCGTACATTTTAACGATTGCCCTATTGTCGCTGGATAAGAACGATTTCTGCTATAACGCTTTTGAGTGTCGTGTACGCGATATCTGGAAACGCCAGCGGCTTTTATACACAAAGCGCATGAAGAGCTCCTATTGGAAGAGGGAGCTGATTCCGTTGGACATCGATGTCCAGCGCGAACCTGTGCGCGCAGTAAACGCCACCACTTCTCCACTGCCTCAGACATTAAAAGTCAATTGACGCAATTCAAAGTATGATTTGCTTATTTTGTTTGGCCTTAGGCCCCTACCGAAACGACCACTGCAACGAACGCCTGACGCTTTTCAAATTTCACGTGCGAAAATACACCGTAAAGGCTACCGCTGCCCGAATTGGATATTGGAAGATAATCATTATAAAACCATTTTTACTCGCTTTTTTTTGGTTGCCTTCTAATCGCTTGGCTGTAGCTGCTGGCGCATTTAAACAATATTCCGAACAATAGCTTCAAAACCGTTAATATTAGCAGTGTCTGATCACCCATGAAACCTGCGAAGGTCTTGTACGCTTGTCATAGGACCTTCATCGCATTTTTCCACAGCAGCTTGTTTTGACAGTCAGAACTGGCCTCTACAGTTCGTTCTATATAAGCTCTACAGGAAATAGTCTACCGTTTCGGTTTATCACTAAACAGAGTAAGTTTACCATATTTAATGCTATCCATTAATGAAAATTATGAACGTTTACAGCATAGCGTAAGGTAGCTTTTTACCTATATTAATAATACTATATGTTAAGCTCGTGTACCTCTATGTTTCAAGTTGTATGTCCGGTCCGGACCACGAAACGAAATCTGTCTATGCCTAGGTTCGAACCTGGACCACAACGTGCCCCTAACATTAGCATCCAAATCCGTTACCTACCGAGCCACCACGGGAACCTACCGGAATTCAGTCAATTGCCCGTTGCTACCTAAAATCGCTTCTCCGAAACATATTTATTTGTGATCGGATTTCTTCAGATGTGACCATAAAAATATAACGAGATTTTGAGGTCGCTTACTAGATTGGCACCATAAGCATACCGTCAAGCCTCTGCATATCAGCTAGCCCATGCCGTAAAAACATTTCCTGATACAGCCAAATCGTCTAACGAATCGCACTGCTATATAACAACAATATTTCAATCGATATTTATTCTCGAGTTGCGCGTTGAGCTTGCAGCGGTACCGCAGCGAGCGTAAATTCCAGCGTCCTTTTGTCCTGCTGCAGGCCATGACGGTAGACACGGCTACTGACCCGACAACTGGCTAGAGACTATGATTTAGAATTTTAGTAAACGGTGCCAGCGCGCCATCACTGTACGCCAATCTTGCATAGAACAGAGCAAAGTTACAAATTTGCTTGAACGGTCTGCGGGTAGCAATCATATAGGCCACCAATACGTAAGATCGTGGCCGCGCGCCGATATGGGTATTAAATCAACAACGTCTGCTGGACCGCAACTTACTGGTAAATCCAATCTACTGCAATAATAAGAAATGCCCTGGAAGCGATGTAAGGATGGGGACTTCTTATCCTGAAAACAGTCACGTACCTTTGAGGAAATACATTGCCAAAGTCAAATGGTAACTGGGCGCTTCGCAGTGTTTCGTAGCAAAACTACTGGTAAAATAAGGGCCGATGAGCTAACGAACATCATCCAATGACAATTTTGATCGATATCGATTGGTATCAACGGGATGTCAGCTGGGTATTTGGCGACAGCGCGTACATCACAGATCAATTTGACCGTTGACAAAAAAAAAAAAAAGAAAATAACAAATATGAAATGTTACAGAACTTTAGTTTAGTTGCCACCGCTTTACGTAATACATTTTTGGCTTTGTCGACGGTTGCGGGCGATGATTGTATTGTTAGATGCTAGCACTGCTTATTCGACTAGAAAATACGTATAATGAGATCATACTAAATACTGAAAAAGCGTTCACTTCCAATAGTTGGGTATTTGTTGATCTCGTACAGCATCGTTCGCATTCATCATATACTTAGTGTTACACATATGTAGTGCCCCTCTAATGCACAAAAATTGTAGTCAGGCACAATCATCTTGAAGGAGATGCTTTTCCAATCACCCGCATCATATATCATTCTTATTTCAAGATCTTATTAGACCAAAGCTGAATAGAAAATTTAACTGCCTAACGACGGCAAATCCGATACCCATCTGCTCATCGCCTCCCTGTAATCAAAATAACCTCGATCTCGCCTTCTGTCAGTGTAAATTTGTCCGACGATGCCCCACCAGTGAGTCCGCGCGGTTCATCTAACCAGAACACGTGTGAGCTTTCTACCCTTATTTGCTACGCTGCACTTCACTACAGCAACAACGCTCATTCTGTATTGCACCGTCCGCGTTACCGTTGGGTAACTATGGTTGCACAAGAAACGTACTTTCATGGAGTCGATCGTTCGTATCGGTCCCGTTGCTTTGGTCAGCTCATCCTGGGCCCAACTTTCCCACAAAGTTTTGCCGTTACCCCACGATGGGTTCTCCCTCTTATACGACCCCGCAAATCGCCTCTTGACGCCACGGCCAGCTTTGCCGTCGCCGACGTGCTCCTGTTATGACGGTGAGCGGCAGCGGTAAAGCCTCCCTCTGCATCGGGTCCGACGTAGCTCAGAACACTGTGACTAGTTTTGGAAACCGAATCACAGCCCCTAATAACACTGTCAGCTACGATCAACAAGCACAGCACTGCTATACAGAGGCTCGCCATACGCCATTATAAGGCTCACTAGCCTGTTAGACCCCTACCTTCTCTACTAAGAGCCTGCATTGCGAGCGGTTCGATGCTCTTGCTGACGGCATCAGCGCACGAGGTGCTTTACGTGGCCGGCATAGTTGCTTGTACTGCTACTGCGACAACGAACAGAGCTGCAATGACACAAGAACGATTTCTACATCTTCTTGTCGTTCAGTCTCGTCGTTTTATGTCGCCTCGATCTTTAGCTTTTCTCGAAGAAACTCACTGATGTGGAACGAACGCTATTGACATTCATGTCACCACAGCCGCGTAAGCAGCGGCCGAAACAACAAACACATGGGTAACCTAACGTTGCCAAACGGCATCCCTTGTCATAATGGTAGCGGCGATGAGAATCGATGTAAAAATGAACTTAACTTTACTTCGGTAGCTTCCGTGCACCGGCTATTGCTATAGACTACAGCACCTCTCACGACTCCCCCAGAGCTTTCCCCACGATGATGCTGCGGCAACGATTTGATGTCTCCATCACATTCGATGGACGCTTTGATGTAGGCGAAAA